ACTGTGAGATCATGACCTGAGCCAAAGTCGGACACTCAGCCAACTGAGCCACCCAGGCGTCCCTAGAAAGTCTTCTTATGCTATCTATCACATTATTCCCATGTCCCCATTCTACCTGTGGTCCTTGTAAAGCACGTATTAAATCTATTTGTTAGAGCCCAGCTCACCCCAAATCTTAACTAGAGTCTGGAGAAAACACTCTAGTCCTTGACCCTGAGAACACCAGAATCTCCTTTAGAAATTTTCGGAGATGGTGGTATTTGGAATCACAAAGATTCTGATTCAAGAGGTTTTGAGGAGAGCCCAGGCATCTATATTTTTTTTAAAAAACCTATAGGTAATTGCTTATATACCATAGAAACTGAGAAACACTGTCTTCATGATAATAAGCAGTATGATTTTTCTGTTTCGTCTGCATGTTTCTGCCTGTGACAGTTATGGATAACTGATGACGAATTTGGAAATTCTGAATTCTTATCCCCAATCTCACCAATGAAATAGGAAATAGTACCAATAAAATATCACCAATAAAAATGAAAGAGAGATATGGCATCGTGCATGTAAGAGCTGAAGAGAGCTCAGTGGGTTCTCCCGAGGTCCTTACCATTTTATTGGCTCTAGGATTGGAGTTTTTCTTAAATTGCCTCTACTTAGCCACAGTCCACTCCCCCGTATGTTGTGAGCTGTTTCCTCCGGTTCTGTTTCTCTGTGAATCTGATCATATCTGTTTCCCATGTATCAGGAATGCGCTGATTCCCGTGTCAGTGCATGGCTGTCTTTCTTCTTTCTCATGCTGTTGGGAATTTATTCTTTTTCATAGCCTTCCATCTGTTCGAGAAGTATCGGGGGAGACAGGGGGCATGCAGATGTGCTGGCTCTGTCCACCCTCGGAGCCCATGCCTCCCTCCACGCCCTCCAGATTTGACTTTGTGAGGCACTGTTTTACCTCCCACCAAAAAGGGCTTATTGATTCAACTCAAGGATGAGGAGAAATACATCTTTCCTCTATATGGAAAGGCTTTGAGGCCAGTGGGAATGACCTGTTCCTTAGGTCAGATCCACCAGCTGGGCTTGGGAAGGCGTTTTCTCTCCCCCTTCCTCCCCATCATTCTTCCTCCACACCCATATGACTGCCCTCACTCTCTGACATATGGCCTATACTCACACTGCTTGTCCTAAAAGAAGGTTCCAGCTGGATTGGGGCTGGAAGGACCCCTGAATCATGCTGATTAGATTCCAGTAGAGAGCCAATTTCAAGATTCACCCTGGCTTACAAGCTGGATACTAAAAACTCTCTTAGCATGACATTTTGATGCTGAGTGAAAGATGTCTGTTTTCAGTGGAACAAGGCAAATGTTGAGAGAAAAGCCAGAAAGGACTGTAAAAGCCATAGCTTCCAGGTCCCAGAACCAAAATATATGAGAGAGAGAAGGAACTACAGTCTATGAAGAGAAGCTTAAATTCTCGCAGGGGTCAAGTTTATTCTATAAATCAAGAAAAATAATACAGATAACCTAAGGATCATAAAGAGCCCACATGAGTTTTTTAGTTTCGACTCCCACATCTGATTCCCTGTGTGCATGGAGACCTTGGCACTTGACCAACCTGGAGCCTACAGAGGTATTGAAAAAGTGAGGATCACCTCTTGTCAGCAGCTTTATTATGTGGAACCAGAAAGAAGTACCAACTTCAGGCCCGGAACACAAGGTCTCAACCTTGGCTGCACATCCGAATCATTCCCATGCCCAGGCTTCCCCCAGATCAGTTACATTAAAATCACTGTGGATGAAATCCAGTCATGAACCCTTTGAAAGGTCCTTGGATGATGTCAGTGTGTAGCTGGAGTTGCATGGGCAAGCCGAAGGTGAATAGTGAGAAAAATTCAACAGTTAAAGGAAGGTCTGAGAAAAGGGAGAGCAAGAGAGGGCTAGGTGTGCAGGTGGAGATCACCTGTTCTGCTTAATGGGGCAGGAGGAAATGGACATTAGTGTTCTATGAGCTTCTACTAAGACCCCCATATTATTGTCCAGGTCTTACCTCATTGAAGAGACATGGAGAGGTCCATTTGTAATTCATTCCTTCCTTCTTCAAGCAACCATTTACTGATACCTACGATGTGCTCAGCACTGTCATGGACAGTGGCACCACAGTGATTAATGAGACCTAATCTTGTCTCCCAGAAGTCAACAATGTGGCGGGGAAACATATAAACAAGTATGCCCATCAGATAAGTCTTCTAATAGAGAAAATTAAAGTTAGCAATTGGAGAAGTGGGGAGGGAATGATATAATTAAATCTGACTTACGGTTGAGGAAAACTAGAAACGATTCCAAAGGAAAGGAGATAATTGAGCCGATACTCTATGTATTTATTATTTATTTTTTATTATTAAAAATTTTTAAATGTTTATTTATTTTTGAGAGAGGAGAGGGAGACAGAGCATGAGTGGGGGAGGAGCAGAGAGAGAAGGAGACACAGAATCCGAAACAGGTTCCAGGCTCTGACCTGTCAGCACAGAGCCCGATGTGGGGCTCGAACACACGAACTGTGATATGACCTGAGGTGAAGTCTGACGCTCAACCGACTGAGCCACCCAGGCGCCCCGATCTGATACTTTATATATGAGTAGCAGTTTTCTTGACTGCCATGGAAAGTGGACCATTCCGGGCAGGGGGACCAGAAAAAACAAACAAACAAACAAAAAAGGAGCCATACATTTGAAGAGTTTATTTTGCAACTGTGTCAGGATGGTCATGACATAGGATTTGCGGCAAAAGGTAGCAAGAGATAATAAGATTTAAGAGGAAAGATAGCACTCAATTTTGGAATTTCTTGCATTGAGGAGTTTACGGCCAATGACAAATCAGTTACTGAAAAGTTTTTAAAAGGAGGGTGACATGAACAGATGATGCATGTTGAGAAATCTCATTCTATTATAGGATGGAGTTGTGTGGGGTGATGGGTACACGAAGACATAACAATTATACCCATTGATGGATACACGAAGTCATCAGACATAACAATTAGTTTGGGGGTTATTATTATTATTATTATTTACAATAATCCAGCTACAATTTGTGCTAAAGCAGTGGCCAGGTGAACAGAATAAAGAGGGATTGACACAGAAGAGATCACAGAGAAGTTGTAACTTGGGTGTGAATTAGCTTGGGTGTGAAGGAAAGAAGAAAATCGGATCTGTAGGTGTCTAGTCTGAGTGAATGGGTGACACTATTGACCGAAATGTGGAATAAAGGAGAAGGAACAAGGCAGGAGATGAGAAGAGGGGTTCAGGGTTCAACTGCCCTTTCAACATCCAACCATTGAAAGAAGACCCCAAGCAAACTTGTTCTCTATAAAGTATCTAGAAAAGTAGGTCTCTGAGTTGCCGGGATGGACACACCACAGAGCTCCTTGAGAAAGGATCTAGTTACTTTTCATGACGACGATTTAAAACTATGGATGGTGATTTTCACGTAATCAAGACCTCTGTATCTAGACCAGTTTAGGATCAGTCATTAGGGTTTGTCAAAACCAAGGATAATAAACTCCACGGGTTTCGGGGGCAAGGCAGATAGTGCTGGTCAGATGAGCACTGGGGTAAATCAGAAATGTAAAGTCCCGGCCCCCTGGGTGGTGCAGTCGGTTGAGTGGCCAACTCTTGACTTCGGCTCAGGTCATGGTCTCGCAATTCGTGGGTTCAAACTCCACGTCAGGCTCCATGCTGACAGCGTGGAACCTGCTTGGGATTCTCTCTCTCCCTCTCTCTCTCTCTCTCTCTCTGCCCCTCCCCTGCTTATGTTCATGCACGCTCTCTCTCTCTCTCAAAAATAAACTTTTTATTTTTCTTTAAAGAAAGAAATGTTAATTCCTATCAAAAGGAGAAAGCTCTCACTCGTGCTCCAAATGGCTGTTTTTTTGCTTTACTAGAAGATCTGTGTTGTCAGATCTTGGAATGTTACAAAAGAAATTGTATTTTTATGGAAATGTATGTGTATGTAATCGCCTCCATCCTTCCACGTTGTCAAGTAACTTCTTTTTAAAGCACACTATACTAGCTGATGAAATTCATCCATGGCCCCTGGGCTTTAAATCTTCTCTAAAGCTAAAAGTTTATATAATTGGCTTGTGCTATCACTTTGGGATAACTTTGTGAGAAAGAGGTCGCAAACTTTCTTATACAACTAGCTCCCTTCATTGGCCTTAAAGCTAATTTTTCCAAGGCTGAGGGTCCTTCTCCATACTGTTGCAGGAATTTAGAAACAAGGTCCTATTCAATGTATCCGTGTTGTTCGTCATTTTACTGAAGTCAGCGGGGCCCTTTCAGGCTTCTCGTTTCTGAACAAATATTACAGATTGATCTATACACATAGGACAGTAAGTCTATAGATACAGAAAGTTTTTACCTAGAACTGCGATTATATGGGGCCATCTACAATGAGGATATAATCTCCTCACATTAGAAGAAACAAGAACCAGATAGACAAAGTGCACTGCTCCACGATCACACGATGAGTTTCTCCCAGAGCGTGACCCTCCCTCCTCTGTCTCCCACATGCCTGGGCTGAAAGCTCATTGTGTCTTTGATTCATCTCTCCGGGGCTGTATCAGTTAGCTGTTGTCACATAACAAACAATTACAAAGTATCAGTGGCCGAAAGCAGTAGGCAATTACTTCTCATTCCCGCGCCTGCAGCTCAGCTAGGGTTCAGCGGCGTGCTCCTGGGCTTGGCCAGGCTTCAGGTCTGGCTCATGTCACCTGGGGTCACTCTGCTCCCGTTCTGGGGCCCAGGGCACCTGGGAGGCAGAAGAGTGGCTCCCTGAGGAGCCAGCAAAAACACACAATGCCTTTAAAGCCCGGGCTCAGAATTCATGGGGTGTCACTTCCAACTACATTCCTCCGGCCACAGCAAGCCGCTTGGCAAAGTCACAATAACAATCAGTGATGTCACACAATCTCCACGAGAGCCCTATGGAGCATAGAAAATCACCTCCATTTCCCAGGTAAAGGCATTGAACGGCAGAGAGATTGGACGAATGGATGGATGCCACACGCACTGACCAGTAATTGGCAGGATAAGCTTTCAAAACAGATCGCTTCTGCACCTCGCCACCTTCGAACGCTGGATCTTTTCTGTCTTCCGTGCTCTGGAAGTTACTGCCTCATCTTCAGAAGCTCATTGTAGTTCCGAGCCTTGGAAGTGTGTTGGCTGTATCAGTAATCGATCCACGTCTGTGTGTTACACAGTTATAGTCATGGCCGAACCCTGTAAGGTCAAACCCCTGCGGTTACAAGATCAAAAGGAATAGAGGAGAAAGGCCAGACAAACAAGACTGCAGGAGAAAGACGGGCTCCTTCCATGGCAGCAACCCCATTTCCCCGAGTGCCTGGACTGAAGTTACGACAAAGAGTGCAAATGTAACTCTGTACCAAAATAATGGTGTGCAACTATTGGGCGACGTGTTAGCTGTTTTACCTTATAGCTTAGCCTTTGAGTTAGAACCATAAATAAGAGTGAACACTTTCCCCCTTGACACACAGCCCCAGAAACCATATAAATAACCAGAGCCGATTTAACTTGGGAGTTCAGATAGAGCAGACAAGGGGTCATGACATTAAGTCAAATGTCACTCTCTCTCCTTTTTGTACTAACACAGATTCCTAACCAGAAAGGGCAAGATCTGGCCATGACGCTGGCCATAAAGGGATAGGTGATGAATTAGGGGCCGAGTCAGAGATCATTGATCCCCTTTGATGTTCTTCTGATAATGAGGGAGCCTAATCTCTCTATCAGCCTTTACTGTGCCCTAAATCTTAATGTTGTGTTTCTAATTTGGTCCGCACTGAAAACTGTTGTTCTGATGATTTTCAGGTTTACCAGACTGTCTCTTGAGACAGAGGAATTGCCTTAATCCGACAGAGACTTTTTCTGGAAATTAGAGTCCTGGACTTGAATCGTTTCCATCCTCTCTACTAAGCAGGGCCCTAGAAGATTTTTCAAGGACCTGCTGAGCGCCATGATTTTTGCTGTCCACCAGCCAAGACTGAACAATCACTGAGCTTTAACAGGGGATCTACCTTGTCCAGCAAGAGAAATTATATTTTCATGTAAACACATTTTTAGGTAAACTCTCCCAGCTGGTACTTTGATGTTAAGGGAAATTCAGGAGTGCCTTCAGACCCTCAATCAGCCACCATCAGAGGTCGGTAGAGAAAGGGTCTCAAGCTACCTAAGCCCAGACTTGCCAACATCAGCATCATTTTTTTTTTTTTGATATCTACCACTGAGCCCTGCCCCCTCCATGGCTAGTCTGGAGCTCAGTAGAGAACCATGGTCTAGTCCAGGAGTCAGCCAACAATGACCTGTGGACCAAGTTTGGCTCACTGCATGTTTTTATAAATAAAGTTTTATTGAAATACATGCACGCTCGCTTGTTTATGTGTTGTCTACAGCTGCTTCTGTACTATAACAGCAGAGTCAAGGAGTTGCAACAGAGACCATCTGGCCTGCAAAGCCTAAAATATTTACAATCTGGCCCTTTGCAGAAAAAGTTTGCCAATCCTGGGCTAGTCCTTTGGATATCTAAAAAAAGATATGTCCAGGTCCTTGAACTGAGAATTATCTCCAGCACAGCTCACTGTCTCTCAATTTTTAGGAAAATTCTCTATCGTATAACTGGAGTAGAAATATTGTGAATTAATGTGTTTAAAGCTGAGATATTATATCGGTTTTAAGATATGTCCACCAATTATATCTTTATATTTTATATATGTTTATGTATGTTTATATTCTTTGACAATCCTTCCATCAAGAGGGGGAGCCTCTGTCTCCTCCTCGTGGATCTGGGCAGGCTTGTAACTCACGTGTATCCAATAGAATATGATAGAAGTAATGTGCTATGACTTCTGAAGCCACAAATGAGAAAACAATGGTGTAGTTTTCTTCTTGTCTTGAGCCACCTTTTAAGAAGTCTGACCACCTTGAGGCCACCATACTGTGAGGAAGTTCAAGCCACTTGGGGAGGTGAAAAAAAAATGAACGCTTGTGCACTGTGGGTGGGAACATAAATTGGTGCAGCCACAGTGGGAAACAGTGTGGAGGTGCCTCAAAAAATTAAAGATAAACCACCCTTTGACCCGGGATTTCCACTTCTGGGTATGTATCTGAAGGAAATGAAATCACCAGCTCAAAAAGATATTTGCAACCCATGTGTGTTACAGCATTACCTGCAATTAGCCAAGATATGAAGACAATCCAAGTGTCCATCAATAGATGAATGGGTTACGAAAACTTGGTACACACACACACACACACACACACACACACACACACTGGAATTATTATTCAGTCATACCAAAGAAGGAAACCCTGCCATTTGCAACTACACGGATGAACCTTGAGGGTATTAGGCTAAGTGAAATAATTCAGGCAGAGAAAGACAAATACTGCACGATCGCTTGTATGTGGATTCTAAAAAAACAAACTCAAAAAATCAGAGAGCAGATTGGTGGTTGTCGGGGGCAGGATGCAGGAGTGGAAAATGGGTGAAGGCATTCAAAGAGTATAAGCTTCCAATTTTCAGGTGGATACGTTCCGGGAATCTAGTGGCCAGAATGGTGATTACAGGTAACAATATTGTATTGCATATTTGAAAGTTACTAAGAGAGAACATCTTAAATGTTCTTACCACACACACAATTTGTAACTATGTGAGGAAACGAATGTGTTAACTAGCTTTATCACAGTAATCATTTTGCAACCTATACGTATATCAAACCATTACATGTTCACCTTAAACTTATACCATGTTATATGTGAATTATAGCTCAGTAAAGCTGGGGGCGGCGGGGGGGGGGTGGGTGGGAAGAAAGGAAAGAATGACTCAGAGTGTAGACTCAGAAGCCCACAGGGTAAAGACAAGAGCCATGGCAATAACTCTCAAGGTCTAATACTGAGCGCTAATCAAGGAACAGACATTTGCCTGGCTAGATGTCAGAATAGCTATGGACGAGTGGTTGCCATATATCTCTTTCCCTCACACATCTTTTTGAACTGCAGTGGCTATTGTAGTGATTTCATCCTTAAATCATCATTGTGTGGTAGTTGTATGGAGAAGCAGATGATTTGTCTAAGTCTTTTTTTTTTTTAAGAGAGAGAGAATAAGTGGGGGAGAGGGACAGAGAGAGAGAGAGAGAGAGAGAGAGAATCTTAAACTCAGCACAGATCCTGACACAGGGCTCGATCCTACGACCCTGGGATCATGACCTGAGCTGAAACTAAGAGTTGGACACTCGACTGACTGAGCCACCCAGGCGTCCCTCTAAGTCTAGATTGAAAGAAGCATACGCAAGGAGCACCCCCCAGAGAGCCTCGCCCACGCCTGGACATGAGTTAGACAATGAAATCCTGAAATCCGATGCCAACTCTTATCTGACAGATAGAATCAGCTTCCACTCATGTGGGGGAGCCAGCTTTGGGAAAAAACACAAAGCGTTATGAAAAAGAACAAGAATAGTTGAAAAGGGGTCAAGAAAAATTATGGGAAAGTATACAGTCATGGAAATCGGATCCCAAAGAAGATGAGGGAGGGACGCTAGACCCCTCTATGATTCAGCAAACGTAAAGGCACCTTTTCTTGCCCACTGCGACACCACTTGAGGTTGAAAACAGTAGCTGACAATTTTCTTTGCTGCCTGAGGACCAACCAAGGGCTCGCCTCACCACCTCACCTCACTTGTATCACATACTGAGATTGATGAACGAATGAGTGACCCAGATGCCACATTTGTGTGCACTTTTTTTAAATGACTGGAAGATAGAAATTCTTAGTGTCTCTACATCAGGAGCTAGAGAACACTATTTGGCCCTCCAGCTGAACAGCCTTGCCACAGTCTACCCGGCCCAGCCTCACTCTGATCTCAGACTCAATAGCACAATAACAGAAGCCATGGAAGAAAGAAACTGCCAGCTTGCCAAGTCTAACCCAAACCTGGGTCTGGCTGAAAAGGCTCACGCGGATTCCTTTTATAACAAGAATACTCTTATGCCCAGGTAGCATCTCCTGTGGTTGACTACCTGTGGCGGGTAGATAAGTTTGTTAGTTTTACTTCCGCAAACCCACAAGAGAAAAGACCAAGCCCCTTGCGACCTCGGACGAGAGAAGAAAGGGCAGAGACTAAGATCCAGACCCAATCAGCAGTCGGGTCACAGCGAGAATTGGTTCCTGTTGTGTTTAGACCATGCTAGTTTCAGTCATTTCAAGATCGGAGGTGGTTCAAAGCTGAGAATTAAAGCATCTTCAGTTCCGAGCCCGAGTTGGGTTCCATCTTGCCAACTCCTCTCCCCGCATCATGTAAAGCTGCTGGGACAAAATGGGACCATCTGAGCGGGAGTCGGATAATAATAGCAAAGAGGAAGTAGGTTGGGGAGGGACGGTTGAGGCCACTCCAAGTAACCGGAGAACTCATTAGTTCCAACAGAATCCTTGCCAATCCCATTGGCCGCCATGAGCCTGTTTCCCCAGGAGAGCCCCAGGGATGAGGGTCTGGCTTGCTGCTGTGAGCACAGGCAGAGCCCTGAAAACCCAGGGGGACTGGGGACTGGAAAATCCAAGTGGTAATGATGATCCCTATGAACTATGTGTGTCTGCTAAGGAGTGACAGTTCTCTGAAACCTTAACACCTTGTCACTTGCACACCTGAGACACGGGTATATACTGTGAGCCCCACATGCAGCGTTACTGAATATCAAATTCTACATTTCGGGCACCAGCCTCTCAGGGGAACCCAACCAACACAGAAAACATCAATGCAGACACATGCACGGTTTGATTCAGTGGAAAAGCTTTCCACGGGGACCTCGGAGCTAAGCAGCACAGCAGGACGGGCAGGGCGGGGCACACAGAAACAGAGGCAGGGCACAGAGATTTTAGCTAAGATGTTAAATGACCCAGGGAATTGATGGACGAGAAGAAAATGGAGATGAGGGAAGGCGAAGTTCAAGAAGGAAGAGAACAGGGGCACCTGGGTGGCTCAGTCGGTTAAACATCTGACTCTTGATTTTGGCTCAGGTCATGATCTCACGGTTCGGGGTTCAAGCCCTGTGTCGGGCTTTGAGCTGACACTGTGGAGCCTGCTTGGGATTCTCTCTATGTCCCCCTCTGCCCCTCCCCTGCTTGATCTCTCTCTCTCTCTCTGTCTCAAAAAATAAATAAACAGGGGCGCCTGGGACTCTTGGTTTCGGCTCAGGTCATGATCTCGCGGTCCATGAGTTCAAGCCCCATGTCGGGCTCTGTGCTGACAGCTCAGAGCCTGGAGCCTGTTTCAGATTCTGTGTCTCCCTCTCTCTGCCCCTCCCCCGTTCATGCTCTGTCTCTCTCTGTCTCAAAAATAAACGTTAAATAAATAAATAAATAAATAAACATCAAAACATTAAAAAAAAAAAAAAAGAAAATCTCTATTTTCCAAAACTACTGTCTTTTTATCATGCAGTGTCATGATTATTTGTTTACATCCCTCATCTTGCCTCAAGTTCAAGACAGAAAAACTATCTACATTGCTAGCACAGCTCTCACAGCGTTAGCACGGTTCTTGGAGTAGACATTTAATAAGCTGAATATAGAGAAGGGACAGGGGGCAGAGGGAAACCAGCCTGAAGAGCTTAAGGCTGTATGCCCAGAGTTCTTCCTCAGGGGCACCTGGGTGGCTCAGTGGGTTGAACGTCCAACTTCAGCTCAGGTCATGATCTCGGGGTTGACCAGTTCAAGCCCCGCGTGGGGCTCTGTGCTGTCAGCTCGGCACCTGGAGCCTGCTTCGGATTCTGCGTCTCCCTCTCTCTCTGCCCCTCCCCCACTCGTGCTCTGTCTTTCTCTGTGTGTCAAAAATAAACATTAAATTAAAAAAAAAAAGTTCTTCTTCAGTATTTAAACAATCTCTGTTTCTGTTTCCATCTCTCTCTCTCTCTCTCACCCACGTGAAGAGCCTTGGAAGCATCCGTCATTTCTCCCTCTTCCTCGACCCAAGTCTCCATCACTTTCCTACCCCCTCTGCTTCCCAATGTTACCTGTGTCCATTACTTCCTTCCCACCCTTGGCATCTCTGGCCTGATTATACTAAGGCTTCTTGGGCTGCCAGTGTGATCATAGCCCGAACAGAAAATAAATTACTTCATTTATTTTTAATTGATAGTTTGATGAATCATTAAAATAATCATTATTTTCAATAATGTAAAAATATGGGGGGGGGGCCCTGGGAGGCTCAGTCGGTTAAGCGTCCGACTCTTGGTTTCGGCTCGGGTCATGATCTTGTGGTTCGTGAGTTCCGGACCGGCATTGGGCTCCGCGCTGATAGCGTGGAGCCTGCTTGGGATTCTCTCTCTGTCTCTGTCTCTGCCCCTCCCCCGCTCACCCTGTTTCTCTGAAAATAAATAAACTTTAAAAAAATTTAAAAAAAAAATTTTTTTTTTTTTTGCTTAGAAATGCCTCTAGTGTACAAAGCCAGAGATCGCTGTGTCAAGTTCTGTTTTTTTTTTTTAAACCACTTATAAAAAAGATGTTGACAATTCTTTGAGGAAGAAAAAGCTGTGTTACTCATTAAGTCAGAGTTACACACGGATTATATTTATAATATATATTTGTGTATCTACCATTTAGAGAGAAAAGGTAGGGAACAGCAAAGCGAGGGCTGCAGAAGTCAGATCTCTGATACTTGATTGTTTCTCACAGAGAGTGTTTGTTGGCAGAAGGGACTAACCAGAACCATCCTTGTCTGAATTGTGATGGCTCCCTATCATCTACAGGGCAAAGCCCAAGGCCAGGTATGTCCTTGTTAGTCCTATCAGGGCTCAGCCCATATCCCTTGAATCCCTTCTAAGATTTCTGGGTACCTCTCCCCCTGCGTCCCCCAGCTTCTGTAACCTTTGCATCAAAGGACGCATACCTTAGACTCTCTCTAGAATCCGCACGGGTGGAGCCTCCGCCCCCAAGTACAGAGAAGCAAAAGTCAAGGCAGCCTACGACTCACTGAACTAAGAGCAGGAAAACCCAGCTCCCTTGCTTCAAGTAGGGACCAACTGACACTCCAGAGTTCCCCTGCAGATCAAGTCGAGGCCAGGACTTTGCCTAAAATCACATCCTTGCTGGGTACCTCATTTATCCACTGATGCATTGCAACCTCCTTCCAAAATTAATGGCTTAAAACAACAAGCATTTATCATCTCGTTCAGTATCTGAGGGTCAGGAATCCGGGAGCGGCTCACCTGGCTGCAGGCGGGTTGTCAGCAGGGGCTGCAGTCGTCTTATGGGGACGGAGGGTCTGCTTCCAAGATCACTCACATGGCTGTTGGCAGGAGGCTTCGGTTTCTTGCCAGATGGGCCTCTCTATAGGGCTGCTCACACGACGTGGCAGCTGTCTTTTCCCAAAGCAAATGATCCAAGAGGAGAGAGCTAGTAAGTCAGCAAGAGAGCACAGAAACAGAACCTAATCTCAGAAGGCACAGATCGTCACTTGGGCTATTTGCTGTCGGTCACACAGAGCAGCCGGCACAACGTGGGACAGGACAGCGAGAAAGGGTACCAGGCAGTGAGGATGATCGGGGGCCCTCCTGGACACTAACAACCACAGTGGGCCTCCTGCCTTCTCCACCCTGCTCCTCCCATTCTCTAATCAGATTTTTCTAGAAGCACTTCTCCCTCCCCACCCAGTTTTATTGAGATATAATTGACATACAGCCCTGCTCAAGCTTTTGAACAGTGTGACTTGACTTACATATATTGTGAAATGATGACCACAATTGGTTAACATCCATCATCTGATATAGATAAAGAAAGAAAGAAAGAAAGAAGGAAAGAAAGAAAGAAAGAAGGAAAGAAGAAATGAAGGAGGAAGGAAGGAAGGAGGAAAGAAAGAAAGAAAGAAAGAAAGAAAGAAAGAAAGAAAGAAAGAAAGAAAGAAAGAAGACAGGAAGGAAGGAAGGAAGGAAGGAGGAAGGAAAGAAGGAAGAAATGAAGGAGGAAGGAAGGAGGAAAGAAAGAAAGAAAGAAAGAAAGAAAGAAATAAGGAAGGAAGGAAGGAGGAAGGAAGAAGGAAGGAAGGAGGAAGGAAGAAGGAAGGAGGGAAGGAAGAGAGAAAAAATTGTTTTTCTTGTGATGAGAATTCTTAGGATTTACGCTCTTGCCAACTTCCACGTACCTACCGCAGTGTTAGCTATAGTCATTGCGTTGTACATCACATGCCCAGGACTTCTTTATCTTCTAACTGGAAATTTGGACCTTTGACCACCTGTCTCCAATTTCCTCATCCGCACCCTCCACCCCCCTGCTTCTGATAACCACAAATCTGATCTCTTTCTATGAGCGTGGCTTTTGTTTTTTCGGTTTTGCTCTTAAATTCCACATGTAAGTGAAATCACACAGTATTTGTTTTTCTCTGTTTGACTTATTTCAGTTGGCAGAATGCCCTCAAGGTCCATTTATATTGTCACAAATGCAGGATTCCCTCCCCCCCTTTCTGGCTGAATAATGTTCCCTTGTATATACATACCACATCTTCTTCATTCATTCCTCTGTCGATGGACACTCATGTTGCTATCCTGTCTCGATTATAAAGTCACGCTGCAATGAACACGGGGTGCAAATATCTCTTCGAGATCCCGTTTTCAACTCCTTTGGCTATAGACCCAAAAGTGGCATTGCTGGTTCACGTGGTAGGTGCATTTGTAACCTTCGGAGGACCCTCCATCCTGTTTCCCGTCGTGGCTGGACCAGCTTCCATTCCCACCCGTGGTGCACGGTGTTGCCTCTTCTCCACATCCTCACCGGCATCGGTTATCTCTTGACTTTGTGACGATGGCCATTGTAGCCGGCATGCGATAGCTCACTGTGCTTCTGATCTGCATTTCTCTAATGTGGGTGATGTTGAGCATCTTTTCAAGCACACGTTGGCCATTCATATACCTTCCTTCGACGGACGTCTATTCAGCTCTTTGGCTTATTTTAAAAGTAGACGCTTTGTGTTTGTTTTGCTGTTGAGTTATAGGAGCCTTTTAAAAAGTATCTTTTGGATATGAACCTCTTTTATCAGATATATGGTTTGCAAATGCTGTTTTCCATTGGGAAGTCTTCTCCTCCCTCTCCCTCCTCCTCCTCGCCTCCTGTCCCTCCTCTTCCTCCTCCTCCTTCTTCATGTGCTTCCTTTTCCATTGCTGCTTCTATAAGGAGCACTTCTTAAGGAATCACTGGCATCTGAATCCCGGTCTTAGGGATTGCTTCTGTGGAACCCAACTCAGGCCCGCAAAGTCCTCCACGATGTGGCCTCCGGCTACTTCTCTAACGTCGTCGCTTGCCAACACGTGCTCTTCCCTTGATGCAGCAACTAGCTTGGAAAGGATGCTGGAAATCCCCTGTACCTTGTATGTGATCTTTCTCTGCCCCCACTCGGAGTCTTAGTCCTCTCTTTATCTCTACCACTTGCCACCACTAGATATTTGTCAAGTGAATGAATGAGTGCATACACCCTAAAGCACTCTCTGTCCTTAATTGGCTACTGCACAGAGGAAACGACACGAGGCTTTGTTCTGTCACCTTGGGCAGGCGTGAGGACTTCACCACGGCCTCCAAACTCTGCGAAAGGGAAACAGAGAAATGCATTCAGTCATTTATTCATTCATCAAGTATTTACTGAAAGCTTACCATGTCCTGGACGCTTCCTGAATCACTGGACACAGGGCAGTGGAAACAGACACTCAAAGTCTACCTGCAAGGCTTATATTCTAGTGGAAGAAATCATAACAGCCAAAAAGTATGGAGTGTCGCCAGGTCCCGGGCACTGTCCTAGATGGATATAGGTCGGCACACGGATACGGATACAGATATAAATAGATAGATCACTTCATTTAATTCCTACACAACGCTTATGAGGCAGGTCTTACCATTTTCATTTTGTAAATAAAGAGAATAATACACAGACCATAAATAGCGGAACTGGAATTTGAACCCAGGTAGTAATGCTAAAGAAAAAAAATTATTCGTGGCTCTTGCTAAAAATGATAAGACTCTTTTCAGGGGGACCACTGCGATGGGGGTTTTGTGGTAGAGAAGAGAGATCGGCTCAACCTCACAAACAACAAGAACAAGTAGAGATTTGCGGTCAAGGATCGGGCCGGGGGTCCGCGGATGGGAAATTATTAAAAGGGGGCATCAAGGTAGGGGGGATATCTCCTAAACCAACTGCACAGGAGTTTTACTCAAGGCAGGCCAGGGTGATAAGATATCAAGGGTGGGGGAAGAAGGAATTGGGTCCGATGTCATGGCTTGTCAGATACCAAGGCTGGAGGGGGAGGAATCTAATCAGATATCAAAGGTGGGGGATTTTCACTAAACTGCCCCAGCAGGATTCTTGCTAAAACTGGACTGAATGGGCCAAGGACGGAGCCCAAGGGCGAGACCTCATCAGAAAGAGGACTCACAGGAGCCTGGCTGGAGTTAGGGCCAGGACAGTCTTTCGGTGGCATGTTCCAGAACCCATGCTCTTGCCTACTCTAGTCAGCCAGTGGGAATTGCCTTGGCACGGTCGTGCCAACTACAGAGCTCTTTGCTTATCTGGATTTTCTTATCCCTGCAATATGTGCTACTTTAAATTTCTAAAAAGGGAAAAGAGTGGAATTGTGCTGATATCTTGCTTACCTAGAATAAAACTGCCACTTTGAGCCGGAATGGGCGTGAGAGGTAACACAGTGGAGAGCAGACAGTGGGAGTTGGGTCGGAGCTAGAAACCGGGGTCCTGTCCGCGTCGTCACCTGCATGGCAAGGGAGCTGGGCGCTATGGTTCCAAGATTCTTTCCTCCATTCCCTCCGCGCAACCTTGACGATCTAGCCGTAAGGTTTCACCACCTTCACGGCACGTCACCTCGCATCGTATTCATCAGCCTGCGTACCTCATTCCCCCTCGCGACTGTAAGCTCTCGGCACAGTGAGTGCTCCCATACACAACATTACATCCTCAACACCGTGCCACCTTGGGCGTGTCTTCCGGTGTCGAGAATGGGCCTCTGCAGCCAAGGAGCTCCCTCAAAATGCTCCTTCAAGGTCACAGAGGACACGAATAAAAGAGTCCAGCTCGCCATGCGGGCAATCCTGTCCCATTCCGAAGCTGGTGCTCTCAACTCGCACCCAGCGACTCAGAGAAGAGCAGTTGCTTGCATAGAATTGCTGCTGGGTCAAGCATATCATTCTCCGAAGTCTCCCTCAAAGATTTCTCTCTCAGCCACACACAGACTCTCGCTCACAGGTTCAACGTGTACATTTCGAAATGCCCCAGATGGCACAGCTCACCTTGAAATCTGTCCTTTTTGTGAGCAAGGTAGGTCCTGGCTTGGATTCTCAGCTCGAAAACACCGTGGGGATGTACTGCAAAGGAGATTATTTAGAAAGATAGATTTTATCAATATTGACATCTTTATTTCTTTTTAAAAAATGTTTTTAAACTTTATTTATTTTTGAGAGAGAAAGTGAGAGAGAGAGAAAGAGAGAGAGAAAGAAAGACAGCATGTGTGGGGGAAGGGCAGAGAGAGAGAAACACACACACACACACACACACACACACACACACACATTCTGAAGCAGACTCCAGCTCTGAGCTGTCAGCACAGAGCCCAACACGGGGCTCAAACTCATGACCTGAGCCAAAGTCAGGCGCTCAACCGACCCAGGCGTTCTGACATTTTTATTTCTTTAGATGCATGGGAATTCATTGTATTATTCCTTGCCTGCCTTTACTTCTTAATTGCTAAATAATATATATATTTTTAAGAACAGAGAGGCATTTTCCCCCAAGGATACCGGCTGCATTGAAGACTGACATAGTTTCAACTTCCCCGTGATACCCGGGCTCCCATAAGGCTGTAAGGGTTCAGGCCCCAGCAGGAAATACATAATGTGCTTGAAGGGGTAACTGAAGGAGAATTTCCAGATGGGATCACTTAGAAAATAGTGGGCAGAAATAAGAGAAATCAACAGACAGGGTGCAGCACCTCAAGACCATTAGTAAGAATTAGAAAAAAGCCATTAGCAAGGGAAGCCAGCTATTTGAAGAAGCAAAGGAAGCAAGTGTTTGAGGAGATTTGGAGGGTTGTGGACAGGGCATCCACAAAGAAGCCCAACCAGCAGCCTGAACAGCGTGGGAGGGATGGATGTCTATCTCATCCACCTTCCCATTTGCTGGTGCTCCCCACTGGCCTCGCACAGCCAGAAACCAGGTGAGGGAGGGAGGCTCGATGATGCAGCCCCCAGAGCACAGAACCGGGTGGAGAAGAGTGGGTGGAAAATCTGGAGCTGCAAAGTGAATATCCAGGTCAGGAGCCAGCCCCGTCCACCTGGAGCCCAACTCGTGAGAGGCCAGATGTCAGAAAAGGGGTAGCAGAGGCTCACATGTAGGTTATGGCGTATCTACTCTTCTAGGAGTGAACACGTATCCATTTGGCCAACAGGAAATTTCCTCGGTAACAAATGGTTGGATAGATATATTAGGTCTGCTTTCCTTTTTTTTTTTTTTTAAGTTTATTTGTTTTGAGAGAGAGAGAGAGAGAGAGAGAGAGAGAGACAGAGCACGAGCAGGGAGGTGGCAGAGAGATGGAGAGAGAATCCTGAGCAGACTCTGAGCCATCAGCACAGAGCCCAACTTGGGGCTCGAACTTACAGACCATGTGATCATGACCTGAGCCGAAGTCAGACGCTCAACCGACAGAGCCACCCAGGCGCCCCAGCTCTGCTTTCCTTAAAGGGAGAAAGTCAGTCAACCCATAGAAGAGAAAGAAGAGAATCAAATACCATACCGAGGAAGCGTAGCTTAACCATAAGAGTCATGTAACATTCAAAAATTCAAACATGTTGCAGGGCTGGCCAACGGGGAAAAGAAAACATGATTAAATAATGCAGGCAAGTCTGTCCACCACACGCTCCATAGGCTTATGTCTGAAGGTGAGCGTGAGACAGTTGACATCAGTCCACCGATTTCCCCCATCAATCTCATAGTGCAAGTGTTTGTCATGCTAAGTGTGATTCTAGTGTGTAGGTGCAGATGCTTGTGTACCCCTTATGACGTATTTTAGATTACTATATATGTCAATGTTTATGTATGTGTGCAGGTTTGTATGTGCAAAGTCATGCATACTATTCTTTAGAAGCAACTTAAGAAATGTCCAAGGGTTTTAATGCTTTAGAGCTGTGATCAACACTTTTTGAAACTAGAAAACCCCTGAAAAATATTTTTGAGAATGAACTATTTTTATGTATTGTTTTCTCTTCACTGGCTTTTAAGTCTCACTTCTGCATAAGCTATAACTCTGCTGTAATCCCTTACCCACCAGGCAGACGTTAGAAAAGGAGCCTGGGGAGAGCCCATTGTGGAAATAGGTCAAGAGGAAAAGAAGATTTCTTAGCAGAAAAATAAATTAAAGTCTTTGGAAAAATCTAGTAACTTACTAACTTTTGTTTCTGTAGATGAACATTTTTAAATGCTTAATAATTCCCTTTAGAAGGTCAGCAATAAGTAGTCCTTAATGATACAAAGAAATAAAAAATACATGCAATTATATTCCATTTCATCATAAGAACCAAGGATAGGGCTTCAACGTTGGATGGGTTCAAGCCCGTCTATAACACCTGGAGTTAACTGGTGAACTCTGATCTCAAAGTCAGCAGGGATTAGGTTGTGTGTACTAACAACTATCCCCCAACTTTCAGGGGCTTAAACAAATCAGAGCTTATTTTCTCTTTTTGGTCACCTTTATTGAGGGATAATTGACAAATAAAAACTGTATATATTTAAAGTACACAATGTGATGATTTGGTATACATTAAATATACTAACACCTTCATCACTTCACATACTTTTTTTATGAGAACACTTAAGATCTACTCTCTTAGCAAATTTCAAGTATATAATATGGTATTAATTAATTAATTAATTAATTTGAGAGAGAGAGAGTGCAAGTGGGGGAGAGGGGCAGAGGGAGAGAGAGAGAGAGAGAGAGGAACTTAAGCAGCCTCCAAGCTCAGTGCAGAGCCTGACTCAGAGCTCAATTCCATGACCCTGGATCATGACCTGAGCGAAAATCAAGAGTTGGATGCTCAACTGACTGAGCCACCCAGGCGCCCAGTGTTATTAACTGCACATTAGGTCCCCAGAACTTATTCATCTTATAACTAAAAGTTTGTACCCTTTGACCAACATCTCCCCATTTCACACACACACACACACACACACACACACACACACACACACACCTGCCTCCAGCCCCTGGTATACCCCATTCTGTTTTCGGGTTCTCTTGAGTTCTACTTTTTTAGATATCACATATAACTGAGATCACATATGGTCACATATGGTATTTGTCTTTCTGTGTCTGGCTCATTCCACTGAACATAATGTCTTCTAGGTTCACCCGTGTTGTCACAAATGTCAGTTTTTCTTTCCCTTTTGTGATTTAATAATATTCTACTATATATACGTACAACATATCTTCTGTATCTGCTCATCCATTTGATGGACACTTGGGACTTACTTCCCACTCACTGAGCTGGGGCTCTGCTCTCTGTCATATTTGTCCTCTTTCTAGACCTCAGCCCGACGGGAGCCCCAGAATATCAAACATCACGGGTCATGGTGCTAGAAAGGAGGGTCTCACAGCAGTAATCAAATGCCTACTCTACACTTTACGACTCAAACCTCTCTGACCAGAACTGGGTCACGTGGGTCCACCCAACAGGGCCAAGAATGGCAATCACCTTGCATCCAGAAGATGAAGGGCCAGGTATATTTAGTATTTAGCTTTAGTGGCTATCTCACCAATATAATGCCCTTTCCCTTATCCTGAGAGCAGAGATTCGGACCTCGGAAACTGAACGGAGGAGAAAACTGGGGTCTTTGGACCTTTGGTCAGCAAAACCAGAGGGAAGATTTAAGCCCGTGTCATCAGGACACTATCTTTCAGAAGCCTGGAAGTGTGGCCACTGATGGCACTTGCCAGTGGTTGAGTATACTAGTGGCACAGTCTTTGATTATGATACCCTGTGGGAAAATATTTGGAGAATGCACTGCTAATGTATGGAAACACAAACTTCATACAAGTCCTACTGTGCAAATATATGTTATGTACATGACTACACATTATGTACATGACTACTACTGCTCTAATAATGTTCCCCAACCAATACATCATCTCGCACCCTCCTTGGGGTATGGGCATCCCACCTTGGAGACCCTCCCCCTGGAGGATCAAGAGGTTTGAGTCACATTCTTACAAGAGACCAACAGGAAAGAGATCTGTTTACATAAAATTATCTGTAATCCCAGATGTGACCCCAAGTAATAACTTAATATCTTGGTACATTTCCTTTTTCTCTGCACGGCTATCCATACGCCGAAATGTTTTTAAAAAGATACCATACTGAACAAACTGCTTTGTAACCTCTTTTTCACAGCGAACACATTGTGAACAATATATTGCATATTCCCCGACATCATTTCTATAACTTTTATCATTTTCCTTACTTCAACGGTAATATAGGTTCCTTGTGAAATCCTATTAAATGTGTATAAGCAAAAAGCAAAAAAGGAAAGATTACTCATTTTCCATTACGCAGACATTACCACTTTTAAAACTTTGCTGGGGCATCTGGGGGGTTCAGTCGGTTGGGCGTCCGACTTCGACACAGGTCATGATCTCACGGTTGGTGGGTTCGGGCCCCGCGTCAGGCTCTGTGCTGACAGCTTGGAGCCTGGAGCCTGCTTCGGATTCTGTGTCCCCCTCTCTCTGCATCTCCCCCACTCATGCTCTGTTTCTGTCTCAAAAATAAATAAACATAAAAGAAAATTAAAAAAAAAAAGCTTTGCTGTTAATTTTTTTTTGGCCAGTTTCTTTCCAATGTGCTCGTGGTCCCCCATTAATGGGATCACGTTATGTCTACTCTTCTGTAAACTGCTGTATCATTTCATGTGATATGAAATTTGATATATCGTTCATCATTTCATATGAAATGAATTTATATGACACATATTTTCGTATGTATTGTGTATCTTTCTAGATAATAGAATACTCTCCTACAACCCCATTTGAAGGACTCTCTGTGGCAATGTTTCCAAAACTGATGTTCTCTGAACATTGTTCTAGAAGATTTCCATAGCTACCTTGAGAGAAAAAAATTCTGTGGTAAAATAAGTTCGGAAAATAGTGCCTGTTTGAATTGTCATAATGCACATTAGTTATTAAAGTCTCTGAAAATCCTACAACTGAAGAAAAATATTTGACTTTGTTTAACATGGTATTTCTCAAATTTATTCGAGCATGACTCACTTTTTGGAAACACTTCAAATACCATGCTCAGAGCAGTACTAATTACTCTGTAAT